GAGAGAGAGAGAGGCGAATGGGGGGGGGGGGAAGGAGAAAGTGAGGGATCAGATCTGAGCTTGTACATTGCCTTGTACCCTCTCTATTTTTATTTTTATTTTTGGAGAAGCATAGCGCTTTTTATTCCAAATGAGACCACCGGGGCCCGGGAAAACACCCCTACATATCAACCCGGTACAAGCTTGCTGAGGCCAATACTCAGCGTGATGCGTGACCCCTGATGATTCCGGCACCAGATGGAATGCGTAGGGTCGTCGCGGGAGAGTTCGCCATGGATTTTGACGACGATTGGACATGCTGTCCATTTTTGGGCTGGTTTCATCGTTTTTACTTTTAATGCCTATCATGTTACGTTCGGGAGATTTGACGTGTCGATTCCCTTCTTTCACCTACTCTTTCTATTCTCACCCTCTTGCTTTCTCTTTCGACCGTGTCTCTTGCCTTATGGCTGACTCTTCGGTATCGTCTCTGTGTGCTGCTTTAGGCCGTTGGGCCGATCCTTTGCCGTAGTGTTGCATATTGTATGCATGTTCTTGCCTTGCCAATCTGTTGTCCTCGTCGGGATTGCATGTTGTGTGCATGCCGTAGTGTTGTATGTTGTGTACATCACTGTCCACATATCCTTGCTACTCAGGAAAAAACCACTGTCCACATATCCTTGCTACTCAGGAAAAAACCGGCATGTTTCTAAGTTCGAAACACTATTGGCCAAGAACTACGAGCAAGTTATAAACCGTAAATCTCGAAAATGCACAAGGCAATTCACGAAAATTTTATTCATTCAACCCTGAAATTATTTCCAAAGCCATGCTAAATTCTTAGATACAGATCAATTCTAAATTCAGTCCAAGTACCCTACTACTACTTTCCACCAGCATTCAAGTAGACGGCTAAGTCGTTAGGAACTAAGTCGTTAGGAACTAAAACTACCTATGAAGGCTATAAGCTCGAAGACCAGGAGCTGGGCAAGAAGAATAGGCAGTACGATTACCCTCCCATCATCACTGTCCAATCACACTGTAAAGAGCCTTTGTTGCCTAGACCGCTTTTCCACCACACACCCAATGGTCTCAAAAAAAAAAAAAAAAAAAAAAAAAAAAAGCCTTTGTTCCCTAGACCGCTTTCTCACCACACACCCAATGGTCTCTTTTTTTTTTTGTTTTTTTGCTTTTGTTGCAAGAAACAACCGGAGTGAGTGGTAGGGGTGCTGATAAGAGCAGACACCACTAGCATACTCGGGGAGGCTCCATCTATTGGTGGGGAGCAACACCTGCTGGAATGGTCTCTCATTTCATCCGACCATTGGTGTTCGCACTGCTGCCTCGTGCTCTCTCTTATAATGACTACACTCGACTAATGCTCCCACCACTGACGATGGCACTCACACTGCCCCCGTAGTGCTGCTGTAGATAGAAAGATAAGCTGTAGGGATACCCTATCGTCATCACTATCCAGAACACTGTAAAGAGCCTTTGTTGCCAAGACGGGTTTCCCTCCAGGCACCCAATGGATACAACTCTATAGTTTGCTCTTCGCCGGGTCTTTCCTATCATCAAATCATTGCTGTTCCCACTGCTCCTCTCCTGCTTGCCATTCTTATAATGACTGCAATGAAAACCAAAATATCAAAAGGGAAAAATACCTAAAACAAACAAGAAGAGAAAATCACAAATTTACTCCCATACATTGGAGATACTCCCAAACAAGAAGAGAAAATCACAAATTTACTCCCATGCCTAAAACAATTATCCCTCTCTCTCAATCCTAATATACTTCAATAATACGTTTCCAGGACCCCAAAGCCTGCGGCAGATGTCCACGGAAAGGTGAAATTTCTCCCGCGAACCGTTTTCCCGGACCCCACAGATGGAAGATTGCGGCTTGGAAAAACGTAGTTTTCTGTTTTCACATAGTCCGCAGCCTGGAAAGGTCTCACGGGAGGGTTCCTCGCCCCAGTTTTGTGCCAACTCTAGAGGGTAGGTAGGGGGGAGGGCGTGTCTGTCTTGGAAAGGTCTTGGAAAAGTCTCACGGGAGGCAGCAGCCAATAGCGACCAAGAGTGGCCCCAGAAAAAAGGGAAAAACAAAGAAAACAAGAACAAAAAAAAAAGAGTGCCGACGGAGAAAGGCAACGATTGGCTTAACTGATATTCCCAAACGGTTTCCACGGTGCATTTGGTCCTCCGCAGTGGGGTCCCCGCAGAGCTGCTTTCCAGCTTTCCAAAATTCTTTGCCCGTTTTTTTTGGCCGGTCGGCTTTTCCATCCTTTTTCCTGTGGGGTCCAACTGCAAGCGATGAAAGAAATGCAGAATACTAAAATACGACAGACTTGCCTAGAAAACGGCTAAAAATCGACTGCGTGTTCAGCTCAACTGGCGTACTATTCTTTCGCCTGTTACTAAAAAAAAAAAATCCGGCTACAAAACAGAGCATGTTCTCGACTTTTAAACTGAATCACAGACCTAACCAGCGCTTAGGAACGTCGAGAATCTATGAATGAACATAATTCTGAGAAGTTGAACTAAGCGGAACGTAGAAAACAAAAGCAACCTTTCACAGACACTGTAACCATTCACAGACATTGTAGCCAAAGAGGAACAAAAAGTTTAAGACAAC